ATCACCATGGCAGCCATGCACGAGCAAGGTTCTCTCCCTCTGTTCTCATTCTACACGCGATGAAATGACACGATCTCAACATGAAAAAAACTCAGAATTCTTCACTCTATAATCCTATGGCATTAGTTTACCTTGAAACTCACCACAACAACAAATCCGATTGAATCAAACACTGGCCACCATGAAATTACACTGATATGCAACATCACCATTCTCAATCAAACTTAACCTAAACTAATCTACAACTAATGGTTATTAATCTGATCAATCAAACTAACATTCTAATGCCTTAATCCAAGAGATTCAAGCACTAACAGTTTGTGGCACCTGTTACCAACCATCACCAAATCGTTCCAAATTCATCTAAACTAATCTCCTAACCACCTAGATCATGTCTAAACTAACAAACTCATGCCTAACTAACTGAATCAAGCAGTTTGAATGAAAACTTACCTGGTATGAAACCTTGAAAACAGCTATGGAGAGTGAGGATCTGAGGCTTCTAAGTGTTGGATCTTGATCAATCCTTGATGTATGTGATTCTGTATGCAATATTCTGGTGATTCCTTGCTTGAATTATGCTGTCCAATGGAAACTTCAACTTGGATGTTCTTGAAAAAGGTACTCGAAAATGGATGATAATCACCAAAACTTTGCTTCAACTCTGATCTATGATGATAATGGAGCAAGATTGAATCAATGTGGATGAGAATTGGTGAAGGTTTTGTGAGATTGGAATGAAAACTTCAATGGAAAAGTATGAGAAATTTGTGGAATTCTTGGTGCAAATGAAGCCAACCCTTGCCAAATTCTCATTTCATGAATATATAGACCCCAATGGTACATTCTAGATCCATCTTGCACATTCCCTTGTTTTCCAACTTTGATCCATTTTGGTTATGTTTCTTCAATTACAAGTAACCAAAGATAACTTCTTTTTTTCCTTCTAAACTCAAAAAAGTGTTTGAACCATTGTTCTTAGAATTGTTTTTCCATTCAAAATCATATATTGGAAGTCTCCATTTGGACTTGTAAATCTCCCAAACCATTTTCCATCTTGAATTTATTCACTTTATAAGCCATTTTAGTTCATATTTTGACCAATTATGCAACTTCATGTTATGAGCTTCTCCAATAATTTGTGACCTTCTTTCTAGACTTAAAATCCCATTTGGAGCAAGTTTGATGTTGGAAGTTTTTCCATCTGAGGCCTCCTTGTATGAGTTTTGGGTATAGGTTAAAATGACCTGTAATTCACAAATGCCCAAAATACCCTTTGCTTGCCAAGACCATAAGTTGAGTTCCACACATCATATGAAGGCATACTATACCATTCTAGAAAGCTAAGACAATGAGGAACAATTCTTATGTTGACCAAGAATTCATTTGAAATCTCCTTGAGGGGTAAAAATTGCTTGGAAGTCAAGTCACTTTCACAGACAAAAATTCAGATACCCCAGATGACCTGTAACTTGCAAGGACCATAACTTGAGTTCTATAAATCTCCTTGATGTCTTCCACCACTCAAATTAAAGGTATTGAGATCCTATACAAGTTTCATGTTGGCCAAGAAGCCATTTGAAGCTAGCATTTTGACTTATCTTGCTTGGAACTTTGACCTAAACTAGGGGATTTTACACAGAAACCCTAATTTAGTAACTCCTCTTCTCCTTGATTTCTCTTGAATTCTCCTTGGCATATCTCCATATCCTTCTTTATATGTCCAATGATGAACCCCACACCTCTCCACTAGCCTTGAATGCCCTCTTAAATCAGTCAATTGCCCTAGGGTTGACCTAGGGTTGACCCAGATGAAACCCTAGTTGACTGCCTTCAACTGTAGCTCTTGTGCTCTCATCAATGGCTTGTCTCCTTCTCCAAATGACTTTTTAAGTCTATCATAATGTCTAGATGCTCTCCATGCCTCCACTTCACAGCTCACAACCCTCTTGTTGATCCTCAGATACCCTCAGCTAGGAGATGAACTCAAGGCTTGATCTGCTGAACTCTTTGCTTTCAAATTCTTTCCTGATGACTTGAATTATGATTGAATTGGGATGATAACCTCTTGCTAGGCCTCTAGAGATGATAATAATGATTGGTCCCCTGTTGAATGACTTGATATGCTTATGCTATGCAGATGGTTAGTCTATGTACATGACTCTATATGCAAATGCTAATGATATTAAAACATGAACCAAGTGAATAAGGTTGGGCAAATTTTAGGGTGCAACACCCTTTGCCCAATGATGAACTCTAAGTTTTGAGGGTTGTAAAAAATTCAGCGTCCTTTACTTTTCAATTCTTTGTTTATGATTTAAATTTTAGTATTGTCTTATTGTTGTTTGCAGGTCTAGAACATTGAAGCCAGTTATGGAGGCTTAAGGATAACCTTGAAGATAGTCTAGTTGTAGGGTTTTGAATTTGGAAAAGATGTTGTAGTCTTGAATATTGTTTGTAAAGGCTTGGATTTTGTATGTAAAATTTGAATTTATCTATTTCAACTTTGTTTTAAATTAATTCAAATTTGTCAACTCAACTTTGAGAATAATATGAACTTCCAACCTTATTCCAATGGCACTAACATGGATATCTCATGAATAATGTCTTGAATTTGGCTATTTGGATGAAGAGTCCTTTTTATTGGAATAGAAACCAGTGATTTTGCAAAACTTATGAATAAGGGCCAAGTCTTGTTTAAAGAATCCTTTGAAAATGAGGACACCATCTGTAATGTCAATCACCACAAAATTCTCAATAGTCTTCTAATGATCACAGTTCAAAATCCATGGGTAGAAACACCTTAATCCCAATCCTCTATGAGAAATCTCAAAGAAAACCTTTGAGGGACATTGACCCTGTTCTGACTGAGGATCACAATCATAGGGGTGTGTCTACTCCTTATTTCAACATATCTTGCAAAGACTAGAATACACATAAAGCCTTGAATCTTTTGCAGCAAACTTGTCTTCATAAAACAAAACGGACAAACTGGTTAAACGGTTAGCTAAAGCGAAAGATCGACCAAAATGAAAATGCAAATGATCAATGAATATAAGGGTAAAATTTGGAGTATGAGACAACCTTTTAGAGGAATCCTCCAAGGGGATCTGCTCTCTCCCTATCTTTTAATAATTTGTGTGGATGTTTTTTCTAATTTGTTAACTAATGCTAAGGCATCTAACACTTTCAGAGGGATAACTATTGCTAGAAAGGCTTCAAAAATCACTCACTTATTCTTTGTCGATGATAGCCTTATCTTCTGTCAGGCTGATAATCAAGAAGCAAACACTCTCAAAGAGATTATCAAGTGGTACGAAGATAGGTCTAGACAATGCATAAATCTACAAAAATCTCAAATAATGTGCTCAAACAGCACACCAACAGACAAAAAGGAGTTCTTCGCCAAAGCTCTCAATATCAACACCATAACCAGGATAAACAATTATTTGAGGCTACCTACTTCAGTAGGTCAGTCCAGAAATAAAAGTTTCATCTATCTTCTAGACAAGCTCAGACAGAGGCTCAAATCCTGGAAGAGCCAACATATATCATATGCTGGAAGAGTAACCCTTATCAAATATGTGGTTCAAGCCATCCCAACTTATGTCATGAGCTCTTTTCTGCGGCCAAAAAACCTCATGGAGAAAATGGAAAGAATGACAGGTAACTACCGGTCGGAGAGAACATAATACAATGAAAAGAGTGAGACTACTTAAGCAAACATAAAATTGAAGGCGGTCTTAAATTTAGCACATATAACGAGAGAGGAACGAAGTAGCAAACATGCAAACTAGAGGTTGTGTCTGCAGAGTAACCAAAAATATTAAAGAACGGGATAATATTGTCAAACTTAAAACCGATTAGTTATTTGGTGGGGCTTAGGCCCACCAGTAAAAAAAAATTATTTAAGTCAATTTAATAATAAAGATGAAAGACAACCAGAGATTGAATATTTACAAGAAATTTTTTTTACAAAATTTAAAAGCATACTTTTAATATTTACAAGAATGATTCATATATTTAAACCTTAATTTACCTTCTCTGTGTTCATGATCTTAACTTCTACTATATTTTAGTCAAATTCTAGGAGGCATCTAGTAAATTCCAATCAATTTTATTAATTTCTGTAGAACAAAATTATACTATATTTAAGAACTAAAAGAGTCAATAACACTTTTACAAATACGAAAAAGCATTTATCCATAACTTTTGTTGGCATATTGAACATTTACACGCCAACATATTACCAAAGCATTAGGTATAAAATTTAAATGCATTGAAACTCATAGCCAGTTTATATATGTTGGATTTCCTATAAAAAAATTTAGACCATTATTTTTTTAATATAGATCCTCTTTCCTTTTAAAAATCACGTTTATGTTTAAAATTACAATTTGTATAATCAATTTTGAAAACAGAACTAAATCTACTTTACTGAAATCAAATACCTCAAAAATAATTCAATAGTCAATTTAATTAATTTCAGAATAGTTCATTATTCAATTTTATATCTTTAAAATTAATTTCATCTCTTTGAAAAAAAACAAACATAACCATAATAAAATCAATAAAATAATAGAGTTCTTTTGTATATTAAAAAGTGATATGGACAAAATATTACATTATAAAATAGTTTTACATTAATATTTAATAAAAAATTAATAATTTATTATTTAATTTAAAAAATTAAAATATAAATGTAACGTGACAGATTATATGATCAACGCTGTAAAATCTTACACCATTAGGGAATAATTCATTTTCTCAAAAATTTTAATTAACCATAACAATTAATAATAAAAATATAAAATGATTTAATGGCATCGTGGTAATTAAACTAAAATCCAGTGACCATGAAGTAATTTGACACAAATCTTTGCCTACAAAACCCTCTCCCTTTCGTTCTCATTCAGCAGTCACAATTCTCAAACGCAAAGAAACAAACTCTCAACAGAATAAAAAAAAAAACAAAAAAAACAACAACAGAGCAGTTAACAATGAGAACCCAACGCCCTCACCATCTCTTCGTATTATCCATCATCTTCATCGCATCTACATTCTCATCATCAACCGCAACCGGAGAACAACCTCCGACCACCGGCAACGACGGCGACACCGAATTCATCCGTTCAAGCTGCAACACAACACTCTACCCTGACATATGCTACACTTCCCTCTCTCGTTACGCCAATGCAGTTCAACAGAATTCCGGCCAACTTGCTCGTATCGCCATCGCCGTAAGCTTCTCCAAAGTCCATCGCACAGCCACCTACCTCTCCAATCTCACTCGCGTAGCCGATTACAGCGGCAACTCTCGCGCCGCTCTCGCTCTCCATGACTGCTTCTCCAACCTCAACGACGCCGTTGATGAAATCCGCGGCTCGATTAATCAGATGCGCCAGATAGGAGCCGCCGGGACCGGCGTCGATTCGTTTCTTTTTCAGATGAGTAATGTCCAGACGTGGATGAGCGCGGCGTTAACCGACGAAGAAACGTGTACGGATGGATTTCAAGATGTGGAGAATTGTCCGATGAAAACGGATGTTAACAATCGCGTGACGAAGGTGAAGAAGTTCACGAGCAATGCTTTGGCTCTGGTTAACGGTTACGCCAGTAAAGGAATGCCGTGAGTTTGTTGTAACCGTGGGATTTGATTATAATCTTTTCCAATCTCAGAATTGTTCAATTAAAGAATAGTTTTACTTTTATTATTACTGTGTATGCAAAAGTGTAGTGTGTGTGAATGCTGAATGTAAATTTTGGTTTTGGTTTTAGCTTTCTTGTTAGCAAGAAAAAAACAAACGCATGTGATTGGTTTCACATGAGTTCTGTGCAAGAATAGAGAGTGTAGATATAAAAACAAAAACAAAAAAAATTAGTCACAATTAAAAATTGTGAAGATGTGAAATAGTAGTAATGTATTGTGTGAAGGTAAAGTCGTTTGAGTGAGTTTTTAATTCGTTGTGGTTATTTATTTATGCTTTAAAGATTTTAAAGATTAAGATGAATATTTTTAGAGCCACTTTAAAACTTTAAATGAAAAACTATAAAATTACATCAATTATGTTATATTATGTGTGATTTTGGAAGTAGTTAGTTAAAGGTTATTTTAATTCTTATGATGGTTAAGTTTGCTTTATTTTTTGATTTGAAATTGTTCTAAGAAATGTTGTGTTTGGCAGTTTCTTTTATCATCCGGAAGCCACCAAAATTTGCTTTTTTATACTTTTGATAATTAAGCTTGTTAGAAACGTCTGTCATTGTCCACCACAATCTTAACCAAAGAGGCCTTTTGTTCGATAAAGCTGTTTGGTAATTTTTGGGGTGTAAATTTGTCTATTAGTATGTTAATATTGTTCAAATCAAAAGAATTGGTTTATTAATTCATATTTGAAACACAACTTCCGTAGTTAACTATTACTATATGCTATGCATGCCTCAGTTCGGTGGGAAAACGGGTTGTTTTATTTCTCTTTCACGAATAATTATTAGTTTATGGGAGATGATTTGCAGTGATCATGACATCGACACCATCCCTACCGTTATATTCTAAATATAGTTTTACGCTATTTTTGATTTTTGATTTTAAAAAATTGGTTTGAAGGAAAAAAAATCACATTTACTAATCTTTTTAGAGATTAAAATAAAACTTGTTTGATAAATTTATTTATAAAACGAGATTAATTGTTATGCATTAACAGTATAAAAAGTTTTATATTGTCAATGCATCATCATCATCCGTTAGTATTATTTTATAAGTAATTAAAATTAAAGTCAAATTTTTTTAATAAGATGTGATTAATTGATATGTAAAAAATCTTTACATGTGTATATTAGTTAAATTCTCATAAAATATATTTAAAAAATTAGAAAAATGAAATATATATATATATATATATATATATATATATATATATATATATATATATATATATATATATATATATATATATATATATATATATATATATATATATATATATATATATATATTTATTTATTTATTTATTTATTTACAAGGATGAGCCTTATTCTTATATATAATAAAATTGTGTAAATTATAATGAGGTTAAACTTATATATAATAAAATTGTGTAAATTATAATGAGGTTAAACTTATAAGTAATATCATAAAGTTATTGAGAAAAAAGTGATTGAATAGAGATTAGAAAAATAGACTCAAATCATTGAGAATCAATTTTGTTTTTTTTGTCTTGTGGTCGATCATGGAAGTATTTCATCTTTTACGATGTGAGATGAAACAGTATCAAGTGAATCAATCAGACTTGTGTCGCAACTATGAAAAACACCTGGCGGAAACAAAATAGAAGAGTCGCCACCAAACTTTATTTATCCCGACGAGGAAAAGGAAACAATCGAATAAAACCTCAAAAAGGGAGAAGTCATGGTCATCGCAACCAAATTCTGAGTTCGAGAGTTGATTATGCGAGAGGAAGGTGTTAGCACCCCTTCGTGTTCGTTGTACTCAACGAGATCCAGGCTTGTTATCTAATCAAAGAGTGTGTTATCTAAAGCCTACTGCTAACGGAACGGGACGAAAAAAAAGGAAAAAAAAGGAGAAGAGAGAAAAATGTGACTCGATAGGACTTCGTCGTCCTATGCCTACATATTCCCTCGTGTAATGGGAAAGTCAGAGTCAACGTAGTTCGAAAGACTACGGGTGAAAGGGAAGGTTGCTCGCCAAGACTTCATCGTCTTGTGCATACATATCCTCATTCGGACGAGACTGAAGAAGTCAGAGCAATTGTAGTTTGACGTACAAGTCGATACACGCTTTTTATGAGCGATGTTAAGCTCTCATCCCAGCAGTTAGGGTTGATGTTTGTTTGCGGTAGGACGGAAAAATAACATACTCTTTCTGAAAATAATTTGACACACGATCCCGAAGGATGAGAATGATTTGAATTTGTTTGTGAGTTTTAGAGAAGTGAATTGAATTGGTTTGAGATTCACATTGCACTAAAGTCTATGATATAGGAGCGAATGCGTCGCATGATCGCCCTCAGACAGGACGTGAAGCAAGGAGAGACTCCTCACTCATTATTTCCCACATATTTAAGGCTCGTGGCTCACAATATTCATCGTATTTATTACATGTTTTGATGTTGTTTTGAGAAATAAGAGGAGAAAGACGCACAAAAGGTCTAAGGGGAAACTCGGTCCTAACATTTTCATGCAAAATGACCCTAAGGTCGAGATGCGAAAGGAATTTATATCCTAATGTTAGCATGCAAAAGTGAACCTATGGTTGAGGTTAAGAAGGAACTAACCTAATGTTATAATGCATGAATTAACTCCTAATGTCTATCCTACTCCAAACTTAATCAAAAATTAAATTAGACTAGGAAGCCCTAAGAAAGCATGCAAGAACAAACCGAAACAAGGAAAACAAACCAAAAACAGCAGCTACAACAGCGCTTCAGCTTCAGAACAACAGTAAAAACCCCGCAAGTAAGCACAATAGCATTTAACAGCTCATGTTTTAGCACATAACATGTGTAAAAAGCAGCAGGCAGAATGGATGCACAATTAACAGCATACTAAAATCTAGAACAACAAGTGTAAAAAGCCCAGGTAGCATGTGTGTCAACACTTCAACAAATGCATATGACATGGTGAAGATCAAACATTAACATGTATTGACAATTAAACACAAACAAGTTCGATGTACCATAAAACATTCATAAAGAACGTCATGCATATTCAACATCAATTAATCATTTGCACAATCATGCGCTTGTGGAATCGAAAACAAACATAATATATCCAGCAAGATAAACATCAATAACCAACAATTGACATGGTACAAATGATTGTGTAACATGATCAGCACACCAAGAATGCAACACAATAATCATAAACGTTCATCAACAAAAAACCAAAAGTCGTGTATCAAAAAATTACAAACATGCTATCAAGTATGGTGAAACAGCTCAAAAACAGTCCATAAATATGCATCGTATCAATCCATGAGGTTTAAAGAGGGAATGGGATCTAAACAAGGTTGAAAATGTAAGAAAGTGTCATTCTCCAATAGTGTTAATCGGTTAACCTCCTGGTGTTTACCAGTTAACACTGTGAAAACAAGCCAAAAAACACACAGTAAGCAGTGTTAATTGGTTAACACCAGGAGGTTAACCAATTACCACTGGGACCTAATAAAAAATTCAGCAATTAAAAGTACTTTTTAGCAGCAACTCAATTATCCAACCATCCAAATGAATAAGCAATCAATTGTGCATAAAAATCATGTCAAATCATAGCAATCAAATATCAATTGGATCCAACAAACACAAAAATCAATAATTAAAATAAGCAATGGATCAAATCTCACCAATAAACCCAGAATCTACATTGTGAAAGGCAAGATTAAGCAAAACTAGAGCTAGATCTAGAATTTACCAACCGACAAAGCTGTGATTTGCTTTGGTGAGTGTTAGTAAGCTGCAATTAACAGATATAAACAAGAAAGCCAAGGATCTATGAAGCTCTAGTAAGAAACTTGAAGATCCAAGCAATAATCCACAAATAAGCAAAAGATTTTCAAGAAGTGATTCCACCAACTTAATTCAAGATCCAAATGAGTTGCAAAACCAGAATTGAACCAAGGATGATGATGCAATGGAGGTTTAGCCCAAGAATTCACAAATTGCAATGTACAATTTGTGAAGCTTTTGCCTATGGAGCTTTGGTGAGGGTTTTGGAATTAGAGAAAAGTTGAGAGAATTAGAATGAGATGTGTAAAAAAATCAGAAAATGAGTGAATGCGATGAGAGGTTTGGAGTGAATTCATTTAAGTATGGTTTAAGTTTGAAATTAAATGTGGTTTGGAGTGTGAGTTAGTGTGAGGAAAATCAGAAGTGGAATTAGGAATGTAAGATGTTGAAATTTGGAGAGAATTTAAGTTAATTGGAAAATAAATCAAATTTGGAGCCACTTCTAGATCCTTCTACTGGTTTAAAAATTGAAATTAAGTTATTGAAATTGGAACCACATGCTGCAGCGCTGAAAATGGACAATCTGGGCAAACTTTGCCTTGGTTAACCAGTTAACCAATTTTGCCTAGCAAACGGTTAACCGGTTAACGCCTTCAAAAATTCAAATTTTGGCGCCTTAAAGAGGAAAACATGGAGAATTGCATGTTGCCACTTGTTCTAAGCATAGTTTGTCCTATAAAACTTATCATTTGATATTGCATTTGTATAATGCCCAAAATAAATGTGAACTGTTTCCTGCGCTCAAAATAACTGGCTGAAAAATATAATCGGGTGCTTGATCGCTGAGAAAAATAAATGTTGAAGCCTCTGATGCTTACTGATTATAAACTTGCAATAAAAGAAAGCCTTGAGCCATAGAAACAACTTGATCCCATGTCCCAAGAACCAATTCCATGATATGCACAATGATAATGCAAATGAACGAAACATAATCTAGTTACGGTTAAAAGCGAAAAGGACAATTTTGGGATGTTACAGCTGCCCCTATTCAATCGGCTTAAACCTGAAGGGATGATAGCACCGGCTTTCAGACATTCAAGGTGTTAGGTGATTGAATGCAAGAAAGTGTCATTCTCCAATAGTGTTAATCGGTTAACCTCCTGGTGTTTACC